CTTAACTAACTGGTGCGGTATTCGCTTATTCACTAATATACACATAATGGTGAATTTGTGTCCCTTTCAATGCTACACTTACTTTGGATTCTACAAAGTTTAGTATTTGTTGGAGGCCCTCCATATATTGGTTTACCGCCACAGATTTGGGAGATGCCGCAGCTTAGAAGTATTACATCCTCGATGGGACTTCTTTTAGCTGATCCTATTGCCACTCATAGTGAGGGGGAAGATTTCCTCATCCTAAAAAACTTGCACACGATTTTTAAGGTATGTAACTTCAATTGTTCAAACGAAATTCTTGATCGAATCCCAAATTTAAAGAAATTGGATGTTTTTTTATAGAGATGTATTTGATGGTGGCAGGGAACGAATCAACTATTGTACGTGCACTCTTGGGCGATTACAGAAACTCGAGACATTGTCAGTGAGGAATTGCTTGGAGAATATGATCTTCCCTGATTCACTCAGAAGATTGACATTGTGGAGTTGCAAGATGTCATGGAAAGATATGTCAATTATCGGTTCATTGCCTAGTCTTGAACACTTGATTCATGTGGTGGCATGGAAGGGCTAGAGTGGAGCCCTATTGAAGGGAATTTCTTCGGATGAAAGAACTACAGGTTCGATGTGTGGATTTGATGTATTGGAGAGCAGATGCAATACATTTCCCCATTCTCGAGCAGCTTAAACTTACTGGACTAGATTTATTATAGGAGGTCCCTGCAGGCATGGGAATTAAATATACTAACATTACAAGAAATTATTATTGGCGAGTGCAGTGACTCTGTCATCGATTCAGCAAAGAAAATATGGGAGGAGCAATAGGAGATGGGGAATGAGATTAGAATTGATGTTACTGATTACCGCAATGTTTCTTATCAGATAGGTACTTTCACTACAAGAATTGATGTTTCCATATTGTGAACAGGAAGGATGAAGTTGGACCTTTGTTTTCTTACCTCTTGAACCAAGTCCAGGGACACGACCTTTTGTGTTGAAACCACCAAATGCATTCATGAGTTTTTTTTATCCGCTTAAAAGGTAGAACTATTTTTAGAAAATTGTTATAGCTCCGCCTAAGAATGAATTTTTATTTAACCATTATATTCTATCATTCAATATGGAAATATATATATTCTAAACAAATTATACCTCACGAGCTGCAACATCTTGAATAGGTATTTTGTTCTTTTTACTAAAACACTGAACGATAAAATTTTTATTTCTGACGGTGTGCGTAAGTGGCCGGTCTACAAGATAAATATTATTAGAACTTTTGTCAAATATATATAAAATACGGCAATTTATGTTTACAACTACATTGAATTAAATAGTACCATAGTATTTTGAACATGGCCAATAGATTGAGCCCCCACGGTATTGATTTGCAATTGCTGCCAGCTTTTTTTCCTATTATCTTTATTTGGTTCAACCATATCTTTGAAATTCCTTAGAACTCTATTATTCCTCATTTTATCCCAAATTTCAAGAGAAATTTATTTCAGACATGCATTATTTTTTTGGACGTAGCGTAAATTTCTTCTTAATAACTCACTAACATTATTTAAAAATAAATCACGGATATCAAATTTATAATGATCCAACCGATGATATCATAAATAAAGATGGTTGTTTATCCATAGATATAATTTATAATCTTTGTAGTTCAATAAAAAATTAAATTATATAAGCAAACCAAATCAAAATTTACCAAAAGACTGGAACAAAACAAATTAAACAAATCTATCTGCTTAAATATATATATATATATACATATATTAAAAAATGTAGGTAGTAGAGTATATGGGCGGAGCCAATTACCCTAAACCCTAAACCCTATATCCATATCTTGAATCTACATTAAACAACTACTTTATTATCAATGTGAATGTCATTGTTATAAAAAATTTACCAAAATGGCAGAACAAAACAAATTAAACAATTACTTTATTATCAATGTGAATGTCATTGTTATAAAAAATTTACCAAAATGGCAGAACAAAACAAATTAAACAATCAAGGCCCAAACAAAAAATTTATAAATTTAAAACAAACAAACATAATATAGTTGAATCCAACAAAGGAGCACATAAAACAAATTAAAACTTCTTGTATAAACATAACAAAATAGCAAAATGAATCAAAACATTCTTTCTTTGAAATCCAAGCAATTCATTGCACAAATAAATTATAGATATTTACTCAAGACACGTGCGCCTAAACATAAATAAAAACTTCTTGTATTAACATACTAAAATTAGAGCGATGGTGCTAGATGGCGAGTCGAAGTACACAGAAAGTCGAGGGTGAAGTAATGAATAGTAAAACCAGGCATATAATTATATAAAATTTCATTCTCAACAAAATAACATATGTATATTGTATATATTTTATTGAATTATTATTATTAAAATAACTAAATAATTATTTTACTGCAGTTTTATACAGCCGTGCAAATATGTCTGTAAACATAAGAGAGAAAACATATGTTGTCGGCGAAAATCAACGAGGATAGATAGCAAGAGTGTGTCTCCCTAGCCATGGATCCGTGCCACAATGCCGATCAATAGTAACTCCACAGTAAAATTTCTCAAACCAGCCCAAAAAAACACTGTAATTTTTCATTCCCTATTTGCCAAAAATATTAATATAAAAGACACAATATCTGCATACAATGCAATTAACCAGCACGGACCTTATCTACTTAAATGTAATCATCTTTCATCTGTGTCGACTGATGTTTTCTGATCGGTTGATCCGAGAGAGAATTTCGGAACTTTATAGAAATTGGGAGATTGATTCACAACGTTTGATATGCTCTAGTAATTAATATCGTTATTTTTAATTTTAATCTTGTATACACTAATTAGAACAGCCTGATTCATTTTGGGATTAGTTCACGTACTAAATTATTTTTTTACAATTCCACATAATTCAATACTTGCTAATCAACTTCATACCAATAGCATCTAGATGAATCACGTCAAATAAAGTCTTCATTGATTATTTTTATTAAATATATATATATTTCAAAATAATACCAATTCATCTGCAAATGACGCAAACAATAAATTAATTAATTAGGTATGTAGCCCTCTCGTAGAAACGGTCAATTTAGACTGTACTGAAAATCTACCTTTATAGACGACTTGGGCAAGTCCTCTTCCCTCAAAACAAAGTTACCTAATTGAATCGACTATTGAGGAAATATTTAGAATTTTACAGAGTTTCAATCCCAAGGGAAAACCAAAAGTTCTCTTGAATCAATTAATGTCGACGAACTACGACAACTGGGAGAGGCTGGTGGGAGCAGTGCTGAGGAGAGATCGAGACAGGCAGTTGGCATATGCTCACAGCATCAGCTCTGCTGCTTCTAGTTTAGGTTCAGTTCTTGACAACTTTTTTATGCATTCTAATTGGTGGTCATTGTCGGATGCAAAATGACTGTCTCACCTAAAAAGTTCGAACTGTTACGAAAATGCAGTCATTAATTATATATCCGTAAACGGGAGTTTCCAATAGCCGTGATGTTGGGTATCTTCGACAATTGCCAGATTCTATTCTCCTGTATATCCTTATATATTTTCCAGCCTGATGCAGGTGGCAAATCGGAAAAGGGTCCTCAGTTTGGAGAATGGGAAGAAAATTATCCGAGCTCAGCAGAATCATTTGCGCAAATTTTTAACAAAATACGAGAGGAGACAGACATCAGGGTAGGCACCAACCCCGGCCGACGAGCTGCCAAACAATCTGTTAGTTTACTACAACTCTAAGTTTAACAATTGCTTCGGATTTCATGCACAATATGTTACGAACATTGCTTCGAGCGAGTTATTGTATGGTAATAATATCTGTTCTTTTATATGTATCAGGAATGCGGCATTCTTTGATGGACTATTGCCAGTGTGTTATTACATTTTATTTACTGACAAGTTTTCTCATGACCATGAAGTCTAATTTCTGTAATTTTGTTTTATTACGCATGTCTATTGTTTTTCCGTAATCACAACGGATCTATTTTGTTTGAGATTTTACCAAACCTGGAGTTTATGTTTACAGACAAATGTTAATAAATTAAATAATACTTTCATCGTCCCAATAAAGTTGTTTTTTTTTTTTTTTTTATTTCATTATTATCCATAATAAATTAAATTTTTGAAGGGAGTTTTATCGGAACAAGATTTTTCCTCACGGTTTTTCAACAAAAGGAACTAAGGAAGAAAAAATCTGTGGAGAAAATTAATTATTAAAATCATGAATGCACGGTTTTTGGTATTTGAATGACTCGATGAAATAATCACTCCTACCAAATTTGCACCCACTGCCCCCAACCCCCAAGACTCATATTTGACTTTATATATGGGCTAGCCCAAGGCCAAATATGGGCCAAATCTAATTCATACCACAATTTATTCATTTATCATTATTTGGGACCAAAATATACTTAAGGTAGGTGGAGTTTGTTTGATTTTTCTATGTGAGACAAACATTTTATCCTCTTCTCTCATATTCACCCAATACACTAACAATCTCCAACCTGAAAAAGAAAACGACCATGACTACGGAACAAGAATCAATTCTATATAGGATAAGTAGTTATCTCTTTGAATATATATTTTTTCGAACAAGATGTAGTAGTCTTGACGAACTAAATAGTAAACACGTTATTCTTGAACAGTTTAATTTCCTAATAAATGAGCTATATGCTGACTGGAAATTCATATTTTTAGTTCGGTTTTCATTATCTAGTACATTTTGACAATGAAACATGTCCTGGTTCTACAAAGTTTTTAAAAAATGGACTAGATAATGAAAACCCAATGAAAACTTATGGCCTAACTCAATGAAGAGAAATGTTGTATCTGCATCAGATCTAGTTTAATATATATAGTTCTACAGAATATTCTAATAATGAATTTTAATACACATAAAATCCTCTTATTTGTCACAAAACAATAACAATTAATGGGTGAGGGTTTGGTAAATACTTTTGGCCGATTATGCAATTTTAAATGATATCAAAACAACATCTGTTAAGCAGGGAAGATACCCTTAACCAAGTTAACCAAGCATCAAATGTATAATCAGATCAGTAGGTCGACCACCAAGAATTAATAAAACCCTAACGAGCTTACAGTGTAAGCTCCTTAAATTCCAATGACAAAATTACAACTACTTCTTACTTGCTTGCTGGCTACGAGATCCCTCAAGAACAGAATTGTCCTCCGGTGCATCAATCCAAACAGCTTCATCGGTATCCTTGGGGCGAATGAAACAGTCGCTAAAGTATCTTCCATGGTGTAGAGAATACCTTGTGAAGTATTTGTCTTCTGAGAAAAAGATGCAGTCTCTCATCCGTCCCGGCATGTTATCCTTGATGTATGAACCTTTAGGGCTCACAAAAATCGTCAGCCCACCAAAATCTGTCACCTTCAACCAATTGAATTCCGTTTGATCTAACTTATATATTGTTAAGCCATCAATAACACAGGTCCGAACAAGAAAGATGTCCCCGCTGTGCTCTGCAGTGAACCACCTCCTTTTATGGAGCGAAATACCCTCTACCAAGTGATCATGGTCACCATTGAAGACTGTCCAAGTTCTTTGCATTGGATCATATACTCCCACGTGTCCTGAGGGGCTCATGCAATAGAAACAGCCATTGCACGCCACAACACAGCTCCAAATGCAACTGTGGAATGGGTGCTGGGATTGATAGGTGACCGTCGTCCATGTATCATCACCGGGGCGACAAGATGAGATGGTAGCATGTGTGTGCTCTGATATAGTTATAGCAAATACTACACAGTCTGGTGATTTTGGAAGTCCTGAGAAAGCAGCTCCTTTGAACTCCTCAGACAATCGAGGTAGTTGGACTGACTCTCGTGTGTAAGGGCAGAATAATGTCAATGTTTGCATGCTGGCCTTGAAAAACAGCATCCAACGATCCCGGACATAGTAGAGTTTACCTCTTCGGCATATTGGCAAGCTAAGGCTATCTGACCGGCTCAAAGAAAGATCGAAAAATTTATATCGCTGGTAACCATATCTTGGGAGATGCAAAAGAAGCGGTGGCTTGCCCAAATTTTGGACAGTGGCTGCAGCAGCTCGCCATCGCCTGCAGACTCCAGCAGCCCGAGAAGTGTCTCTGAAGCTCAGGAGAGTAAATATCAATACTAGAACATCTGTAGGAAGATAAAAGTCTAGCTCCTGGTCCTGCTCTGTTGATGTGCTTAAAATTCTTTTCTTATTACGCTTTTCTTCGAATGAACTGCGAGCAGAGGATAACTTGATAAATTCGAAACTTTATTTAAAGAAATTAACATATGTAACTTACATGAATACAATGTAATTGAGAATAAAGGGTTATACACTTCAAGTTATCTTATCAGTTTCATTTCGCTAAGCAGGAAATTTTGTAACTTCAGAAATGTTTGGTATAGAGGTGAGGGAAGGCGAGGGAAGGGAGATAGAAGGACAATTCCATTGTCAAAGTTTATTATGTTCAAATAGATGTGAAGAAAAATGAGTGGTAGAGAAAAATAGAAAGTTTACATTTGGTGGGGGGGGGGGGGGGTTGGGGCGGGTTCACAACATATATAAAAACATAGGACAAGTAAGAACAAAATTGCATAGTAAATTTTGAACCATTAACCCACAAGACTAAAGCATATGATGTGAATAACAACCCGATGAAACGGAGAAGATGTTGAAAGGTGGGGATTTATCCGCAAGAAAAAAAAAATTAAACCAAACACACATTTTAGAGATTTATGAGCTAAAAATAATATTGGTATCGCCAAACAACAACAAAAACAACAACCAAGGAGAATTGATGTTTAATTTGTTGTGTGTAACTAAACAATACAAATTTAAAACCACCTAGAGCGCTTGAATTTAAAAATAGACAATGAAAACAATCCTACTTTCCGACTTTTACGAATAATTTAATTAGATCTCATCACTTCAAATACAACTGGGCAAGCCCCATTTCAAGTATTCAAACCATTTTCTCTTAAAGAAGGAGAAGACCATTTCAAATCATGCCAAAAAAAAGAAAAAAAAAATAAAAAAGAAAAAAACCACTCCATATTATCAACCTATAATTGTTGGAATAAACGAAATAATAAAATAAAAAATTCACAATTTCAGCTTCTTGTTGCTTTTTCTTTGTCCTCTGGCCATGGTTTCTTCGCTCCGCTACCGCCTATGTTGTGTATTCTGCCAGAGATGAAGAGAGAGACTAGAGGGTCGATTGGAAATCTGACTACTTTCCTCTTTCCAATGGACCGATTTTGCAAGAATGGTAATGACGTATCCACTCTCTCGATTTTACGAATTTTTAATATAGAAAAAAAAATAAAAATAATTACAAGGTGAATAGTTAGTAATTTCGAGTAGTCATAAATATTTAGATGACACGATTATCATAAAATGTATACTTCCCAAAACTATTTTTTGTTTAAACGGTGTTTGTCATTAATTTTTTAATATCAATTCAGTAAAATCTTTATATACTAATGATGGATCTTTATATATACATATTTTGAATGTCATACTATGCAATTGTCAAAAATATTAGATTATCAATATTAGGACATGAAGAGTGATGTAGATGCATATTAATACTTTTAATTTTTATTGGTGTTTTGATTGGCTATGTTCTTCGAATAGTATTTTTCAATTGCGATTCTCCAAAAATAATAATAATAAATATAATATTTTATACGGAAATAAAAATTCAAAATATTCATTGTAAAAAGTCGAAAAATCATTACAAAAAGTTAAATATTCAATTTAAAAAAATATATTTTATATTTTTTTAACACAATTCTCCATACCGTACAAAAATAATCATTTATCCAAAAACACTGCGTGAACGGAGCCATTATCTTTCAATGATTAATTATTTGAGCATATCAAGAATTTTGTTAGAAAGACCTAAAATTTAAAATTAAAATTGCTCTAGTGTCATGATCAAAACAATATTCAAGATTTATTAGTTGATTGGGATAGCAAATATTGTCACTGTTTAAGCCCTACTAAGGAAAAACAAAATTCCAAAAGGAATAAAGAAAGGGAAAGGTCCCAAGGATATTTGCAGAAAACCCGCCGCATGCCAGCAAAGTTGAGTCTATTAGGTCAGGTTTCACTTCGCTAGGTTGATTTCTTCTTTGCTTTTCGATCTTTTATATCCAGGATTGACTGATTATGTATTCCAAATCTTATAATCTTCTAGCCTAAGAGATTTTGACGACATAATATGAAGATTTGTGCTACTATGTTTTATATGCTAGCTAATATTTGTTTGATTTTTCGGATATTTGCAAGTTTTACTTTACCTCTCTTTTTCTTTTTTCTTCTTTGTTTTTTTCCCCTTTGGGATAGTGCCAAAGAGGCTTGGATACTTTAATCATCTTCAAAGTGGTTGATGATGAAGATGATTTTTCATCATTTTTGAGGATTATAGATCCGTCACATATCAGAAGTGTGCCAATCAACAAGAAGGCCCAGTGTATGCGCCCAAGGGCCCAAATTTGTTGGGCCCTCTTTACTAATTTACATACATATAAATAACGTAATAAACATGCCTTGATTTTACAATTTTACTTTATAAATATAAAACAAATATTGTACAAATGTGTAAAATATTAAATATATATTAATTTTTTTAGTTTGTATTCAGATTTTATTTTTTATTTGAAATTGAATTTAAATAATATTTTAATATGATATTTTATAAAAAATCCTTCAATCCAACGAAACCGTGCTCACTCTCTTTGGTGGATGGAGGATGTACATTTGTATTAAGAACAATGTAGATTGAATAAAAAATTGTTTGAAAGCAAAATCAAACATACTCAAATTAGTTTTAAAAAATACTATTAATAATTAAATTAAGTAATAAAACATTGCTATTTTTATATTAAAAAGTGGACTCTTCTTTATATTTTTGCTTGTGTCCATAAAAAATCTAGGGCGGCCATCGCATTAATCCGATTGCCATTTCATAGACATCATACCTGAACTGTATTTTTGAACTTAGTGTTGTAGCCTTCAAATATTTTCTCTTAGATGTCGTACAAGGTTCTCTTCAAAGAGAGTAGGACCATTGTTTAGGTCATTGTAAAGCAATGAAAAGTTGATTCAAGGAGAATGAGATCAGTCAATGATGAGGGATGCAAATAGAAGCCGTGCATTCTAGAAAATATCCCCTTGCACAAACTCCATCATTTTTATGAAAACAATCAGCCCAAAATTGACAAGTTTACGTTGTCTATGCAATACACAAGTTTACCAATCCCGAGGCAACTGACGATGAATTGAGAAAGGGTAAAACATTAAAAGCACAAAAATAGTAGGCAAAACTGCTTATATCCCCTCTGTGGTTTGGAAACTCGGCGCCGTTTTCCCCTTTACTTTAAAAACGGCGTAGTACTCCCTTGTGTTTTCAAAAACCTCGCACACTCTTCCATTTGATCAGTTTGACCTAACGACGTTAAATATCTTCTGTAATGGACTGTTATACCCTTCCTTTAAATAACTCACTTAACACTCCTTCATCACTTCTCTCTCCCTCGCTTCTCTCCTATCCCTCTCCACCCACACCTCTCCACCATCGCTATGCCCGACTCGAAGTTCTTCTTCCACCCACGAGAAAATCGATTACAGGTTTGAACACTGATCCAACGGCGGGATTCTCATAAAAAAGTTCATCGATTTTTCATAGAAAAGGGTAGCAACGAACCCAAATTCTTGTAAGTCACCGAGTTCGATCGATTTTGAATAACTTTTGTGTTAGGGCTAGGGTTTTTCGGCATTTTTCTCATATTACGTCCAATTACGAAATTAATTAATTATGTTAATTGATTTTTTTTTTTTTTGTCTAATTGCTGTTAGATAGTGTTTGAGGGTGGGGTGGACATATTCTAATGTGAAAAACACATGAAAAAAAAATTAAGTGAAACAAAGCCAAGGAAGAAGGTGGAAATGAAAACATCACTTTTATTTTGCAAACACCTTCTTGGAAATCGAAAATCAGTGGTTGACCAACGTTGAGGAGAGGATTCGGGGTGTTCTGGGTTTGCTTTGGTTGTGTTAGAACGATTGATAGAGAATTGTTGTACTTAATGGGAGTGGAAGGGTAAATTAGGAAATTTGGGTAGTTTAAGATAAGCAACAGCAAGTCTACTCGCTTACTCCGTGCGTGTATTCCACCTTCCGTTAACTTTTGTTGTTGGAGGGTTAGACGCAAAGTTTTTGAAAACACAAAGGGGTACTACGCCATTTTTTAAGTATAGGGGGAAACGGCGGCGACTTTCCAAATCACAGGGGGGATATAAGCAATTTTGCCAAAATAGTAACACAATAATACTTCACCAATAGAACTCTTAAAATTAGTGTTGTACTTCCATAATTTGTTGCTTTTCCTAAAAGACATTGCCACTTAAATTATAGTAGATTAGAAGCTTGGAACTTTGAACAGTTTTTTGTATTGAGAAATTTTAATTATTCAGTTTTAGATTTAATAGATTTATATTAAGATTTGGTCATATCCATAGAGAGATTACTTAGATTTGAATCTATCGAGTCTGTTTTGTTTTGTCTATATATAGAACCTTTATTTTGATGATCAATAATACAACTTCTTTATTCTCCGCCCCCCCCCCCCAAAAAAAATATTCTAACTTGGTATCAGAGCATATTTTTCTCCTGAACTAGACATAGCTTTCTAACTCTCGTTTCTCCAGGTACATTCAACGTGAAGTCTATCTGGAAGTCTTGTGATTTTGAGATTATGCCTTTGCAAGTCTATTTTTTTGCAAATCTGTCTACTATATGTGTCATGTGTTTTTTGCGTACGATATGAAATCTATCTGATATCTGTCATCTGTCTGTTCTATGTTTGTTGCCTACGTGCGATCTGAAATCTATTTGCGATCTGTCATTTGTCTGTTGTTTTTCTGTTGCCTGCGTGCAATCTACTTTGTCTCTAAAATTTGTCTGAGATCTGTCCGAAGTCTGCGATCTATTTTGCAATTTGTTCTATGATCTGTCTGGTGTCTGCTTTCTGTTATGTGATATGTTCGATATTTTCGATCTGTTCTGCAATATATCCGATATTTGCGATATTTTCTGCAGTATGTCCAATGTTTGCGATCTGTTGCTGTTTGTGTTTTGTCCGATGTCTGCGATCTTTTTTGTGTGCTATCTGTCTGCGTTTGACTCTAATTCCATTTAGAGTCTTTTCATTTACGGCTTCGGTGGAGAGTCATGTCGTTTTCGGCTCTGGTAGAGAGTTATGACATTTTTTGCTTTGGTAGAGAGTCAACTGTTTTCAGCTCCGGCGGAGAGTCATGTCATTTTCGGCTCTTGTGGAGAGTCATGCCGTTTTTGGCTCCGGTAGAGAGTCATGTCATTTTCGACTTCGGTGGAGAGTCAACTATTTTCGGCTTCGGTGGAGAGTCAACTGTTATTTTTATTTGCGTTTTTTTGCATCTATATTCAACTTTTTTATCAAACTCAAGTTAATTTTTTTATCTCACTTAGTTTGAGAGGGCATGTTACATATTTTACATATTCAGTTTTAGATTTAGTAAATTTATATTTATATTTGGTTTTATAAAATATTTTTGAACTATAAGAGTCAGCCTCCAATCTTGACTCTTGATAAGCCCGGGTAAAATCAAAATTAAGACCCTTAAATCCATCATAATTGATTTTTCTTAATTCTTCCTTTATTATCCATTGCATTTAAAAAAATAATACTCCTTTTGTCATCCAAATTTATAATCGCTTTTGTTTTTTTGGTTGTAATAAAAAATTATTATTGTTTTCTTATTTAGTAAAAAAATACTAATTTTTCTACTTTTCTTTACTATAAAAAGCAAAAAAATATATATATACATTTCTACCTATGTTTTTAGAACTCGTGTCCGATCAATTAAGCATAAGTTTCTATTGCAGAGAGAGTAATAAATATTTTCAAATAACAATAATAGTGGTTGATCCTAAAAAAAATTTATAATGTTATTTGTTTGATTTTGTTTTAAGTTTTTTTATTTGACTTTTAATTATGGAAAAATAGCATAAAATATAACCAAAAGCCCACCTGTCTTATATTAAACTTGTGCAGAATCCCCGCAGTTAGCACTTAACAAAATTGATGTTTACAAGCCTATATTGCGATTTCTTTTCCAAATTCATAATAAAGAGTAGCCGAAATTACTAAAATACCTTTTCACCC